TCCTGTAGGTCCTTCACTTAGTATATACTTTCAATACTTTTACTCAGAATCAATTTGGGTTCTCTCCAAACATAATAAACGTTATAAACGTTCTCTCTTTAAGTGTGTATTTTAGGCAACTCTACTTCTACTTTATTCTTTAACAAGAAACTTTATGGTGGGCGTCTTTCGTTGTCAGTGATATATGCCAAAATATTTGATCATAATTATACTGGTTGAGCAATTACTATCACTAATTAAATATAGTGTCAACATTTTAAAATTTAGGCTAATTAATTTTCAACAAATCAAAAATCACATAATAATTTCAGTGAATATTAACGCTCTTGAGTTTCTGAGCGACAACACCTCAAGGCCAAAGACAGATGATTGTCGCCAACTTTAATAAATTCTCGTTTAGAACAGAAACTCAGTCCATCAGTTGTAAGAGCAAACCAGGTTTTCAAACAACTTTGGTGACGTACAATTGGCAAGACTAGCTAAGGGTGTTTGCATTTCAAAAACATCTTCAGCACATATTGTATATTTAAATAATTTACCATCAGAAATATGTTCATAGTGGCAACTTTTCATTTTTTTTTATAGATCAGTTCAGCTCAATCACGCAAATCGATTCAACATACCAGTGCATATTGTCACTATTACAGGATAAAATGCCGTTTACCCATTTTCATACCCCTCCCCCTGGATTAAGTAATTTTGGAAAATAATTCTCGTATAGCAACAAACCAATATAATCATGTGACACCTCTTTGATTATATTCACATTCATGAATTATTTACTCTTTTGGATCACAACCACCTTCAATTCCAATTTAACAGGAAAATTGTTAACCCATATTAAGAAGGCAAAAGTTGCGATTAGAATTATTTTTTTACATTTAATATGTAGAATACCAGAACATAGCCAGTTGTAAATTGAGTCATTAGTAAACAAATTTTAGCTTTTTTTTCATATAAATTAAGGTAACCATGAAAGAGGCTGTAAAAACAGTTACCCACTATCCAGTATATTATTATACTTGCTATGACGAAATGAAAAAACGTGGATTCAACGTTGACGGTGAGCAGTGGGCTAGTGATGTCAAGAAGGTTGTCCAAAGATTGAATTTAGATCCAACACAGGGACTGAATGTAATGTCTGTTGGTTGTGGAAGTGGTGAGTTTCTTATATAAATAGTTAAACAACCTCATTACATTAGTAACACAACAATTTAAATATAGGTGAAAAATTGCCATGCATTATCACGTAAAATAATAATTTACAGAGATGAATCTGAGCTGAGATGACATATATGATCTAACTATAACTACTAACTGTAATACACAGGATATCACAGTAATATTAATATCTATTCAATTTTACAGGTACCGTGGATAAGCCAATCATAGACATCTTATTGACTATGTACTCAAGTATCAGATTCATAGCTATTGACCCTGTTGTAAAAGAACTGAATAAGTTCAAACAACTGGTGAAAGATAATAAAGATGAATGGAAGAATGTAGTCTTTGATTTCCAAACTACTACAATTGAAGAGTATTTAGAAGTAAATGGAACGCAAACGTTTGGTTTCATTGTTATGTCGCATTCTGCTTATCACTTCAAAGATGTTGAAACAACTGTAGTAGACTTGTATAACCGTCCGGTGAAAGGAGGAATGCTGTTTTCAAAGATGATTGATGGTATGTAACAGCGTTTGCTTTTCTTTGTAATTATACACCAATTTACTTTTACACCAGGTTACATTTAGTATACCCCATATTTCTGTAGCATGTCGATAAAGTTTGGAAATTAAACACGCCACGAGGTTCACGGAATGCTTTCTATCTCTTTTTATTTGATGCTATTTAGCATTATGACTCATTAAGCACATTTTTCTCACCAGGCGGATGGGAAAAGTTTTTACTGAAAGTTGGAGAGTATTTCACTGATCCAATGTACAACTTCATTGGAACTCACTTTATAGAGGATGTCATCAAACGCCATATTCCAAATGCCAGATATGAGACTAAAAAGAGGGAATATACAGTGAACATGGTTGATTGTTTTGATGAAGAATCCAAAGCTGGTGCATACATGATTGACTCCACAACTGTCATCTACAAGTTTCGAGAAACTTGCAAAACCTGAAATAAAAAAGAAATTATTAGAATATCTGGTTGAGTGTTGTCGGAAAGAAGGGGATAAGATATTATTCAGTGCCGATGAAAGGGATTTAGTCATCTTCAAAGATTGATTGGGTAATCGTTATTTTGTCGCTGCTGTAGCTTAACAAGAAATCCCCAGAATTATGTTTTATTTCATGTTGTTATGTTTTAGGCAATATGTTTCTTTAAAGGTTTAATTTTGTTAATGCAAAACCAATGTACAACTACTCCCTTGATTGATGCACCATTAAATTTCACATCCTCGCTATAAATCTGGAGTTGGAGAGGTATAACTGAACATACACGCCATGACTTGGATATCAAAATGTGAGTATCAATCACTGACATCAACCTCGTACACGATCTCGTCATCGACACAGATATGACCAGGACAAAGCCATGTCATTTTGGCGGACTCCCACACTTTGTCTTACAATTGGTTCCCCACCACAGTAATTCCAGAGTGAAAGGAATCAATTGTTCTGATAACATGCACTCTGGCAAACATCCCGAGGCAATGCTAACAGACTTCCTAGACAAACGTGACCATGGTCTAACATCAACTATTATTATCTTAAAAATGAGACTTGACCATGGTCAACACTATAATAGTGGATAGCTTTTGACCATTCCAAGCACATTCTTTAAACCACATTCCATGGTGTTAAGTAGGTTACCACACAACGTGTCAAACAATGAGATGCATACCTAAACACACATACCTAGGCACTCAAACAGCCAACCAATTGGGGGAGGGGGTAGAAAGAAGGAATGACGTACACATTTCAAGGACTTCTCTGCTCGGTGTTCACAGGGTTTTTTTCACAATGTAGAAGTAACCCAACTCAATGCAGTGGCATTCCAACTGGTGGAGACAGTAGCTTAGAATACATACTATCCAACCTGTCAACAGGGGAACCTTTCTAGTGGATCTGACTTAGCATCTGATGTACTTGGAGATCACAGTATACACCAAACCAGTATTCCATTCCCACATGACATTGACTAATGACCGAGTGTAGAGGGATTGATATCTATATGTGAGATGGCTTACTAAACTACACAAGAACACTCCAGTGCTTTAATGCAATTTCATCCGAAATTCCTATTGGACTTAACTACTGTGTCTCACACCCAATTTTAGTATTCGTTGTAGGTTATTTAACACCTTTAATTTCCAATTATAATATTGAAACAAGCCAGCCGATGCCTGCTATGTGGATTATTAAAATACCAGACTTGCTCGCAAACAATTAAATACACAGTAATATCGTAAAAGGTGTTTCAATTGTTAGTTCACGATATCAATAGTACACTGGAATAACCTGAATTCACTGTATCAATCACAATTATACTGGATGATTCAGAGAAGACAGAGCCCTCTCAGCATACAGGGGAATGTTACTATCATAAAATACAACAGAAAAGAAATATGATTACAATCGTAATTACAGTATGAACCAATGATATTATTTTCTACACTTCTGACTAATTAGCATAAACGAACTTTTCATAACAGACTTGCTGCGAAAGAGAAAATTGCAAGCAACTTTCATTCCGGATTGACAATTTTGCGTTCAATATATCTTAATTCACCATCATTACATTCGTATTTTCAGTTACTTCTAATAAGTCTATTGTTGTGATGGAAATCAAAACGAATGACCACCGGATGTACCTCAGTGAGCATTTATTTTCAAAAGTATAAATGTTTGTTTTGTTGTAATAAATAAAACAACAACATATTGGTGTTTTACAAAACCTGTGCATCGTCTTCAACATTTGACACTTTGTCCTAATCTCAAGTGTTAATGCAATTAAATAATAGAATAAACGAATTGCCATGTTATCAGCCAGATTTGCATCGTCCCCAAAAAGTCTTGTGTCAATAAACCTAATACAATTGTGCGATATTTATTAGATCATCGGGTTTCACAGCACAAATAAAAGAGTGTAAAAAACAGTCACCTAGTTTAATTGATTGACTGTTGGAAAATAATGTTGGAAATGTACTAGCCTATTTTTGAATGATGGGATCAGCATGGATATGAAATGAACATATTAATGCCAACAGCCGGGTATCATCCACCAGTATACTAGTATATTACCACA